AAAAGTAAAAATGAAACAGATGAAATTAATTCTGATAATATAAAATACTACCATGTCAACATGTAATCAATGTAAAAATTAGGATAGTTTCATTTTTTTTTCTCCTATAAATCTTTGAAATCCAGTGTGTATTTTACACTTACAACACAACTCAGTTCTTTTTTTTTGGGGGGGGGGGCATTGGCCAGTATAGGGATCAAACCCTGAACCTTGGTGTTATCAGCACCATGCTCTAACCAACTGAGCTAACCAGCCAGCCCTCATCTCGGTTCTGACTAGTCACAGGTGAAATCCCTAAGAGCCAAATGTAGCTAGTGGCTACTATACTGTACAGCACAGCTCTAGATAATTCAGAGAGAACTACTCTTCGTATCTAGGAAAACTGGTTTCAGATTTTTATTTTTTAGTTAGAAGTGGTTATGGTTAACTCCTTTTGCAGTAAAATCTCAATTAACTTCCCTAAAGATAAAAAAGGACTGGATTCCAGTACGAAGAAGCCAACCAAGTACTAGATTCTTTAGAAAGCAGCTTTAATGTGCCTAAAAATATCTCTGGAGAAGAAATTAAAATGATGTATCTCCCCCTTTCCACTCTATAAGGAAAGTAAAGATTTCACTTGTTGCCTCCCCTTCATTAATGTCTTCTTTATCCATCTAGGAGAACCTAGCTTTTTGATTCAGAAAGCAGCTACAACAAAAATATCCGACATGTTTCTTCTCAGCAACTAATATATTATTTCCAGGGATAAGTCAGGAACCTGACCTCAGGAATGACAGTATTCAGAACTGTCTACAGAGCATCAACATTCACTTTGCAGAAAGGGCTTGGGAAGGAAGTTATCCCAGACAGAAGAGGGACACAGAAGGCTTCTGGCCATCTGGAACTTATTAAGAGGTGAGTTCTTAGATAAGGGCAGGGCCACGTGGCCATCTTTACCAATCTCAATTCTGCTGGATCTGCAAACCTCATTTAACATTTAATTCTGTGATTTACAATTCAATAATGCCCAACAGAATACCTTTAGGGATGCAGTGGAATGGGTTGTCTCTCTTACAACATAGTCAGCAGTTATGGTCTTTCTTCCCAAAGCCTCTCTCCCTCGTGGGAGGACCTACTAGTATTGGGCCACAATGCTGTGATGTGACAACAAATATGGGAGGAGGGGAGCAGGCCTGTCAGGTAGAGGAAAAAAAGCTCTTCCTTCACTTAGACAGAGGAAGTGGGGAAAACGGTGGGGGTGAGGGGGAGGGAGAGGCAGCATGCAGCAGAGGTAGCAAAGCTTATGAGAAGATGATGAAACAAGTGGTTCAGAAATGTGCACGGGTACTGGCCAGCTGCCAAAAAAAGAAAGAAAGAAAAAGAAACGTGCACAGAAAATGAGTCACTCCTCTTGTTGTCAGTTACATGACAGGCCAACAAGTGAGTCTGTTTAGTCTGCAGTGAGGGAGAATGGTTTCTAGAAGGCTCTTTAGACACCCCAGAAAGGTTGCCCTGAAGTAACAAGAAGAGGGGATTGGACTAATGAATGAGCAGCAGTGAGAGCTCTCATCCACCTTCTGTGTAATTAACAAAATAGTTTTCTTCTGGCAACAGAAAGTTCCTATTGTATTACCATATTCAATATAAATGAGCCTATATAGATCTGACGTTATCAATATTAAGTCTAAAGTTCCTGCTTGATCCCAAGAAACAAGTGCTCAAGAGAATAGATATTAAGTGTCAAACAATTTTAAGATTCAAGTCAGACCCAACAGATCTAGCTTGGACCATTCTTTCCCTCAGGTTTCAATCAGCATCATGATAATAAAAGAAACAACAAGTGAGAGAGTTTCTATTTCTCTTTCAGTAGGGTACAGGGGTAACATGAGTATGTGTATGAGAAGGGAGAAAGAAGCTATAGAAAAGCATACAACGTGCAAATATAGTGTGGTGAAATTTAACAATAGAAACAAAGGAATTACAATTTAATCTCTCTTGATCAAGTCAAACTTCTATTTCAGATTGAAGATCTAGATTTCAGGTTACTCTTCTGGGCATCCAAGTACATTAGAGTGGACCCTTCTCAATCATTCAGTAAGCAGTTACTGACCTGAGGCACTATGCAAGGTGCAGGCCACCACAATGCAACCAGCCAACAGAGGCCCACAAAGGAAAGCCTCTGTTCTTTGGTAGGTAATAACTGCCTCTTTGCAGTTCTTTAGCAAAATAAGTAGATAGCTAGATCAAACACTTATTTATGGTCAGATGATTTTTCAAGTCATCCCCATCATATGAGGTTGTAAGTCTCTAGGGAATGTGTAACTTGAAAGAATTAATTGTAAACTCTATATTTGGTCTTTGGGAAATTCCTGAAACAACACAAATAGAGACCATTTATCAAAGAATATAGTGTAAGACTCCTTAAACTATGCAGTAAAATATGCAAGTAAAATTTGTTTTTTGAAACAAAAAAAAGTGAAGTTCAAGTACAAACCATTATGTTAAATACCAAAATGGGATGAACACGGGTTTGTTCTCCAAATCCTAGAATACTAGGAACAGGATGTTAAATCTTAATGCTTGAAAGGGGGGTTAAGGAATAGGAAAAGATGGCCATATTATACAATGGAAAGAGCACCGGGCTGGGGAAAATGACCTGGATCCTGGTTCTAGCTCCTCCCCCAGGGTAGTATGTAATCTCTGAAATGCTGTGGGACGTCTCTAAGCTTTAGTTAACTGTAAAAGAAGGTTGGAGTTCTAGCATCAGCCAGCCACCAGGAAAAAAAAAAGTCTATTATTACTACACAAATCGCTTCTAGAAACAGATGCGATTTGAGAAATGAGAAAATGTAGGAAAGATGACTAATTGTCCTGATATTTCTGACATGTCTTTTACTACACTGAGAGTGGCCTCTATTCCCTTTATTTCGAAGATCAGCGCAGTGAGAGAGGAATCATTAATCCATCAGTCAACTCTATTACAAACTGTAACAGAATTAATAGAAAAGTAGTGGGTCTTAAGGAGAAACAAAATAAATAGCAAGACTGCTTCTAGGTTTAAGCTTTCCTAAGAGCAAACATAAGACAAACAAGGTGCCTGTCCTTACTGGCCAAGAAATTTCATACTAGAATGCTTTTCAGCTCCGTATTCCCATCCACCTATATTCCCTTGACACTGGAGCACCATAGAAACATTCAAATAGAATTCCCACAGGTAAAGGATCCTTTCCAGCAGTTCCTCCAGGGGATATATGTCTTCAGCTTTAGAATCTGAAGAGATACATAAATTTATGTAAAATGGGTGTTTATAAGCAACAAGCAATTTCCTCTTACCACTAACATGGGGAAACTTCCATATTGATATGGATTTATATGAAAAGCTGATAATCTTTTCTTATGACAATGAACTGTTTTTCTGTCCTGAATTATTTATCTTCTTTTTTAGTCATTACACTGCCTTTCTCTTTTTTTCAGTCCTCATATACAGATAATAAGGAAGAGAGTACGTGGATCTAGTTTACTACTAAGAGAGACAAGTGGTTTATGCCTCCATCCCAGGAATACTTAATACAATGATTATACTTAAAAAACAACAACAACAACAACAACAACAACAAAACACTTCAAGCCTAACTTCTTGAGGATCCAGACAACAACAACAACAACAACAACAACAACAACAACAAAACACTTCAAGCCTAACTTCTTGAGGATCCAGAAAAGACATTTAGGTCTTTGGGTTTCATTTGCTTCAGTTAAAAAGTATATTTGTTTTTGCACTTGAACGTCTGACAGAGCACTTTGATGATAGATAATACACAAATACTATGAATAAATGGATGAACGATTAGCTAAATATAACAAAAGTTTTTGAAAGATTTTTGTGTCAGAAATATTAGGCATATCAAAGAAGCAATCCAAAACAGATTTTCAGAGAGTAACAGATTATTTTATCTGTAACGTATTCCATCCTAGAAAGGGCATTCCTACCTTAGAATAATTTATGCCCTGGATAAAAGCAAAATAGACAGAAGACGTCCCAGTGCCATCCTCACTACCTGAGACCTGTGTAGAGAGAAATTTTTCCTGGAGTCTGAATAGACTTGGTCAAAATCACCCACAGCTAATCTACATTATAAAATCACCAAGTCAAGTCCTCAGTTAATATCTTTATCTTAGACAGAAGATATGATCCCTCATTCAAAGAAAGGTGAAATCACTTTTACCAAGAGCGCATGATTGTACAAAGTCTGTTGCAATTCTGCCCAACTCCTGTAGAAACCGGCAATACAGCTGTCTTCTAATAAGCCCTAGGGCTCTCCATCCCATTAAGATGAGCAGTCCTCCTTCCACCTCAGGCCCCAAGGCCTGTTCTGCAGATAATCTGGCACCTTTCCATACTTAGAAAGCCTCAGGCTCCACCACACCCCATCCCACCCAGATTTCTACTCTCCTACCCACAGACAAAGTCCAAGAATTGACAAACCAAGGTTTAGGGCCTAACTAATCCCGTTTCCCACAACTCTTAGAAACTCAAGTGTCCTCACAAATCTTGGATTCTCATGAACTCACTCCCTTGGCTTGGAACGTCTGGCCCTTGCATTGACCCCTTACGTAGTTCCATGGCCCCAATAGCTCTGGTTTTCCAGGCCCCTTCCTGTTTCTTGCTTCAGGGTCTGTGTCGGAGCTCATAGTCAACCTGTTTCCTCGTCTGTAGGATCCCTGGAGGGTGGAAGGAGGCCTCTAAGAACCCCAAGCAACCTCCAGGATGTAAAATGGAAGGGGCCCAGGGTTCCCCTCGACCTTCAGTCTTTCCCTTGCGCACGCCCTGTCCCCACCCAGGCTCCACGACCACCTTAGCCACACTCCGAGCATCCCCGCCGCGGCCCAGGCGCCCTCAGCCCATGGGCTTTCCCTCCAGTTCTGCTTCCGGCCCTCGGCCTCTCCCACGGCGCGGTTTCCCCGGCCCACGCCCCCGGCCCGCGCCCGGCCCTACACGCCGCTCGCCCGCGGGCTCTCACCGCTCAAAGACCAGCCTCACAGAGAAGACCCCCGCCGCCAGAGGGAACACCGAGAGGATATGCCGGGCGCGCGGGTAGCCGTAGCCGTCGCCCGGCCCCTCCAGGTCGGCCCAGCTCACGTTCTGCGGCAGCCAGAAGCGCTCGCTCCACAGCCAGCCCCACAGCAGGCCCAGGGCTCCCGCCGCCGCTGTCGCCATCTTACGCCCGCCCGGCGGCCACCGCCGCCACAGCCTCAGCCGCCGCCACAGCCAACGGAACCCACGGGGAGGCAGCCCCGGGGCGGGGCCCGGTCGGCAGCCACCCCCTTCCGGCCCTTTCTCGTCCTCAGCACGGCTCAACCGCCTCCTCTGCGGGGCCCGGCTTCTTCACCATCCACCTCGCCGTTCCGCCCACCCCCTCGCCGCAGCCCCCCGAGCAGCCTCTC